CCGCACGCTCCTCGGCATGCCCGGCAGGAGCCGCGCCCAACGCCGGGCGCCTCGGGAACGAAGGCCAGCACAGGGGCCCCCTTTACAGGACGGGCCGCGGCAGCCTGCCCGAGAGGTCCGCGCGCTGCGGTTTCAGCAAACGCGGGAGCAAGCTGAGCGGCCTGCACCAGGAGGTGGACGCCAGGGCGCGCGCCCAGGGCCGCGGGCTGGGGTGCAGCTGAGCTGACCGCGCGGCCGGGCACCGTGGGGCTGTCAGCGGACGGGGACTCCGCCTGGAACCTCCGCCTCGGCGCTCGCAGAGGTGGCCTGAGGTGTGGCCCCGACTCGGGCCCGGAAGACGACTCACCCGGCCCGGGGGGCCCACGGGCGCCAGGCGAGGGAGGGGTCCCGTGGAATAAGCAGCAGGAGCCAGAGGGAAATCCGTTTATTGAGCACCCGCCGGCACGGCCGCGTGTCACACACGTACGCTCAATGCAGAGCATCTCAGACAGAGGCCTGGGCGCTCCAATTCCGGCCCTGGCCACTGCCCCGGCCGCTGCCCCCCGTCAGGACCCCAGGACGGGCCCTGCGCCCTGATACTGCGGTCAGACGGGGTGAAGCCGCAGCAGGAGCGCGACGAGCCCCACCGGGGTGCTCTCTGCACGCCAGTTCCCGTCGGTGGCCGGAGCAGGGCACTGAGGCCCCGGCCAGCCCACGTGACCACGCCCTCCTGCCGGGTGCTACAGGCGGCTGGCTGCTGGGACGGTGGCCGGCCGAGGGCACGTCCCATCAGGGGCCGAGACCCCTGGGCGCTGCCAACGCCTCCCCGCCCTTCTGTTCTGGAGACGTGGGAAATGTCCCCTGCAACCTCCGAGCACCAGCAGCCCAGAACAGAAGCCCACGCCTATCAGTTTCCTTCTGACGGAAGAGGTAAGCGTGGCGAGGCCCGGCCCGGGGCTTCACAGCACCAAGAGGAACCTTAAAACCGGGGCTACGCTACGCTACAGAGGCACCGAGAATGATCGCAGCCCACAGAACAAGTTTCCCAAAGATTATCATGTAAAATAATAATTAACAGTAACAATAATAGTAACCTGACTGACAGGCAGCATCTGCTGGCTTTAATAACACTGAGGTCTCTTGAGGAAGAAAAAGCAAAACGATCCACAGGAAGAAACAGCGGCTGAGATGCTCCAGGGCCTCCACTTTCCACTGAGCTCTGAGTTCAGGCTTCAGAAATCCACCGCCGACTCCCGGCCTTCCAGAACCTTCTAGGGGCCCTTCACATTCGCAGGGCGGGCGGCGAGGCTGGCGAAGTAGGCACACTGGGCAGGGTCACACTGGCCAGGGGGCCCCGGAGGCCCGGGGGGGCCGGGATGTCCAGCTGGTCCTGTGTCCCCCTGGGGGCCGGGACCCCCGGGGAGCCCATCTTTGCCATAACCAGGTTCTCCAGGTTGTCCTGGCACAGGGAACGAGAGAAGCAGAGCGGTCCGATGCCTTCCGGAACAATGAGCCCTGTCCACTCAGCACAGACAGGGCCCAACGCCGGCTCAGAGGGACAGCCCTGCTCTGGGCACTGCGCCCTGGACAGAGGACACCAAGGAGCGGGGACTCCTGCGCCTGCAGAAGGGGCTACCTGGCCCGGGGCAGGAATCGGGGCCCCGGGGAGGACTGAGCAGCTAGGACACGCGCCGGGCTGGCGGCGACCACCCGTCCTCCGCGAACAAGGCCCAAGGCCCGGGGCGTCCTGAGTCTGCGCCCCGGCTCGCGCTCGGCG